GTGATTTTGACGTGCATTTGGAATATGTGTTAACTATTCTGTGTGATATTTCTATTATCTTGAAATGAAGAATTATTTTGCTCTTTTATCTAGTGGTCTTGTTAGTACTCAATATTTAGCAATGTATGTGTGTTTCTTGCTTCTAAGTTCGTTCTAGTTGATGAATAGATGAGAAAATTTATCCTCTTAATTTGTTCACTTGCGGGTTTCACCTGATTGTTAGACCAACTTGGAACACTAGAACACTGCTCGTAAAATGAATGATTGCACTCTGTACTCAACTTATCAATGAATAGTTTTGTTTTTATTCATTCTTCTTCATGAATCCATTCCAGATGCTTCTATATTGAAATGACCAAATGTTATGTTACAATTCTTTCTTTTTGGTCCATTGTTTAGAAGGGGAAGTAGTGGTTGCACCGATGTTTGGTGCACCCACACAATGAACAGTAAAATCTAAAAATATAGAAAAAAAAATCTGAAACTTCGTGGCATTGATTATGAGCAAATGTTTTACAACCTTGCAAAGTTTGGTCGCCAAATAACATCGAATGATCCATGTTTGAAATGAAATACAAACTCTTGCTCTGCACCCACATTTCAAATTTTATATTTGAGCACAAACTTTTTTTTACAGAGCTCCTCGGACGTCATTTGGCCACACAATTTTGCAAGAACATAGAACATTTGCTTATAGTCGGATCTGCAAAGTTTCAGATTTTTTTATTTGTTTTGCTAGGTTTTGGATCATGAGTGCAGCGGGGGTGCAATGTTCGTGGGTGTAGAACAACCACACTCTAGTTTAGAATTATCTCCATTGTTTCACATTAGCTGCTAACCATTCTAAGGAAATAATGCTTCATATGGTTCCATTTAAGCAATAGTTACTATGAATCCACTAGCTTCTTTCTTGATGTACATACAAAGTTATGATCAAGAAGCCCCAACCATTATATGATAGCATGAAATTCGTATTCCTTTGAGTGTCCTTTTGGGCTGAAGTGGCTACCGTGCATGCATGGTGATGCTAAAATTACTTGAAGAGTTGACTTGGCATTTTTTCAGAGATTTTGAGTATTTGCCAATTGATCCGCCTCATTTCTCTACTTTTGCCTAACTGAACAATTGACTTGGCTTTTTTTTTATCAAGGTCTTCTACTTTTTCAGAGATTTTCCAGTGGTCGTCTTCTAAAATACTAGGAATATTTAGCAAAGATACATTAGTTTCTTGGTCCCAAGTTTTGCTGTGGTTGACGATGAAATTAAGGCAGATTGTCATGTTTCTCTACCAGCAAGTTGCACCTGATTTTTAGTCATGAGTCCACAGCATCTGTTTAGGTGTTCTTGGGTGCGAACGTTCGCAGGCAAGCTTGATGAACTAGCGGGTAGCAGCATCAGAGAGACGCTGATACTGACCATCTTTCACACTAGTTTTCTGTGGCCCATCCTTCTCCCTCTGCAAGTATATCCCAATCGCTGCTACTAACCTGAGGAAAATGAAAATCAACCAGAAAAATGTGTAAACATGAATTGTTAGGAATACAAACAAATGTAAGTTTCAAAGATCTTGTCGTGATGAACAAAATAATAAGAATGGATCATGATTCAATGTACCACCCCAGAGATGAACGGATGGAACCCCTCCCTAAGGGGGGACCTCCTATCTGTCATTCGTTGCGGCAGATTGGCGGGGGTTCGCACCAGCGGGTAGCGCATGTGGGCCAGCCAATTAGGTGGTACTGTAGTTAGCGGGGTAAAATTCACAAAAAAAAAGTATGCCGTACCAGCGATCAAACTCAGAACTCCTCGCTATATAGCGCATGTAGCTAGCCGCCTCAAATGATGTCTGTTAGTTAATAAGGGCATGTACAATTGTGCTATCTTAAGAGTTACCACGCAGGATAAATAATGACGTGGAGGTGAGAGAACCCATAAGAAAAGGCTTAAGAGATGATTTTTTGCACAATATGTCTCATCACGTTTTTAGGAATAGCTACTTATTGAAGATAAGACTAAAAGATGACTCATTGTAGATTTTTTTTTGTCATATCTTACATGCAAGACTGAAGATAAGACTATCTTATCAACCATTGCACATGCCCTAGTGGACACCACGAATATTTAAGAAATATTGACACCCGTATATCCAAATATTTTTCCAAAAAGATTGTAATTTTTTTTAAATTTTTGATTTTTTTGACAAATGTAAACAGTTTAAATATGAACAATCGAGTTTGTAAACAATTTTTGAAAACGTGAACAAAGTTTTGAAATTCCATTTGTTTTTGAATTTTCAAGCACTTTTTCGGAAACCTGATTTTTTTTTGAAAATGTAAACAAAGTTGTAAATTTCTATAAGGAAACATGAACAAATTTAGAAACTGTGAACAATTTTTGAAAAAGTGATTTTTTTTCCTCAAAACATGAAAAAATATAGAAGTATTGAACATGTTTTTAAAAGTGAACAAATTTTGAGAAATGTGAACAAAATTCTATAGAAGAAGCATGCACAATTTTTTTAAGCATGAATAAATTTCAATATTCAATTTCCTTTTGTAAAGATGAATAATTTTTTAAAAGCATCAACAAGATATTGAAAATACTGACCAATTTTTAAAAACATGAACAAAATTTGAAAAACTTGAATGATTTTTTAAAATGTGAAAGAAATTCCTAAAACTATACAAAAACATGGACAAATTTCAAATTTCCTAACATTTTTGGAAAATGTGAACAATTTTTTGAAAAAAATGATTTTTCTTCAAAAAAACATGAACAAAACATTGAGATTATGAACATTTTAAAAAATGTGAACAAAATTTGAAATTTTTAACAAAACATTAAAGTCTAAACCTTTTTAAGTATTCTTTGAAATACCAAAAAACAAAAAAAAAGAAACAAAAACACGACAAAAGAAAGAAAATAAAACCGTTAAAACACAGAAGTAGAAACCAACAAGAAAAAACCCGGTTCAGGAACCTTCAAGAAGGTTTCCAAAACTGAAAGAAATAATGTAAAGTGGGAAAAAAGGTTCACCAGCAATTGGGCCGGCCCACTGCGTCGTTCGGTCACGCAAGCCTATGCGAAGCCTCAACGTTCCTACGCAGTGAGCGGCGTATAGGCTTTTCCCCCCTACGGGTGCCCATAATAATTGATAATCCCCCTGTTAATGACATCCCCTTGGGTAGTAAAGAATACGAGCTTGGCCCTTAATGGGCTTTTATGTCGTCGTGAGCCTACCCGGTGGGAGGTAACCTCATCAGAAGTGTTTCTAATTATCCGACCGACGAGTGCAAGATTGGTTGCCTTCATGAAGCGACACGCTCCCCACACGTTTAACCACATGTCTTATGGGGCCTATCAGTCTGCATTGTCCCCTTCCTTCTTCCAGATTCTTCATATCTCTTGTTTCCTTCCTCCCTCTACTCAATATGCTCTCGACCGTGCCACCGCTCAACGTTGCACATCAGAAAAAAGTCGGGGTGAGGGGAATCCACCATGGTGGTAGCCGTCGCCCACTACTGCAAGCTCGTCTCTCTTTCTCCCCTACTAAGTTCTACCGCTTAACCTTGTGTGTAACACCGTGTCGTCATTTGCTGAAAAAAGTAGGGGGAAGGAATCGCCATTGCCCGCTGCTGGAAGGGGCAACTACCGGTGTTGCAATGGTGCAAATTCGGGTGTCGACGCAGACAGGAGGTGGCCAAGGGCATGCTTTTTCTATGGGCATTGTCGCACGGGGCCACGACGAGAGGGGGGGCTCGGATGGGATGTTGCGACCGTTGGCACAAGAGCTGGGACCGGTGGATGGGGTAGGTACAATCAACCGTGCTGGGAGCTGGAAAACTTGCAGCCCGCAACGCCGGAAGTTGGAAACGACACATGGAAGCCTGCGAGATGCTGCGACCATTGGCGACGAGAGCTGGAACCGGTCGATAGAGGAGCTGTAAACAACCTCACCGGGAGCTAGACAATGGCAAACGACGGCCAGCCAGATGCTGCACCCGTTGGCGAGGGCAACTGGCACCTGCCGATGGAGGAGATGCAACTGGCGACGGTGACTGCAAACCGGCACCGCGACGACAACCACCAGGATGCTGCAGCCGATAGCGGGTGAGTGCTAACCAACGACAGCTACTGCTGCGACGAGATATGCTCTTGCAAAATTGCGTCGCGACACCAGTCCACGACGACAGTGATCTAGATGTGTGAGGGTGCCGGGTAGGATGGCTTTTCGTGAGAGTGAAGAGATGTGCGAGGGGATGAGCTGAGCTGACATGTAATCAAATGTCTCTTAAAAAGAAAACTAATAAAATCAAATGACTCTGCACGCTGTAATCCAACGGCTGGGAAGGTGCCCGATCCGGGCCTCCCGCCGGTCAACCGCGCCCAGCGGTACCCTAATTTCCCTCGAGAAGACGGGCAACAGACTCCCCGTCCCCGATTCGATTCGTACCCA